TCGGGTATCAAGCCTACAAACATACAAAATTACACAATTATGCATAGAAATTAACTCAATTTAAATCTCAATTAAATGCAAAGAGTGCTAAATAAGTGTGTAAAAACACACTTATCAATACTCTCACTATGGAAGAGGTCTATGATGCTTTAATATCTAAGGAAAAGATGAGGCATCTTGCTGGAGGATATGGAAATCATGTTGAAGGCTTGGTTGTGCGTGGAAGGAATCAAGATAGGAATCTTGGCAGAGATATGAGGGGCAGATCGAAGTCTAGGCATGCTGAAAAGACATGTCACTACTGTAAGAAGAAGGGGGATATTAGAGCTGATTACTACGCCTTGAAAAATAGAAATAAAGCTAATGGTGCTACAGAGAAATGGAACCAACATGTTAATACAGTGGAGGTTGATGTTGTGGAACATGAGCAAAGTGGCGGAGAGCTTCTTGTGATTTCTGACGGGGATTCTAAAACTTGTAATGAATGGGCTCTTGACTCGGCTTGTACTTTTCATATGTGTCCTATCAGGGACTGGTTTTCTACATATGAAGGAGTTTCGAGAGGTGCTGCAATTATGGAAAACAACGCACCTTGCAAAATTGCCAGAGTTAATATAGGATGCTTATGGCCTACGTTGTTCAAAAATGCTTATACTTTGGTGAAGAGATGTGATAAATGCTAGAGGACAGGAAATATCTCAAGGAAGAACGATTTGCCATTGAACAACATTTTAGAAGGGAATTAATCAATGTTAGGGACATTGACTTCATGCGACCATTTTCGTCTTCATATGGTCAGCAGTACATTTTGGTGGCAGTGAATTACTTGTGACTCAAAGTCTAAGAAATAACATCTTCTCAAAGTATGGCACCCTGCAGGTAGTTATTAGGGATGGTGGAAAACATTTTTGTAACCGCAAATTCTAAACATTGTTGGCTAAGTATAGAGTTAAGTATTGTGTTTCGACTCCCTATCATACTTAGACAAGTGGGTAGGAAAAAATCTCCAACAGGTAGTTGAAAAAGATTCTTGAAGCAACAGTAAATACATCCCATACTAACTTGTCAAAAATTTAAACGATGCACTTTGGGCATATATACAGCCTTTAAGACTCCCATTAGCATGTCCCCATATCGGTTGGTATTCGGTAAGGCATGTCACTTACCAGTTAAGCTTGAGACAAGGCATATTAGACTACACACATGCTTAATTTTGATATAGAGTCAGCCAAAAAGTATAAAATCCTTTAGCTCGATGAATTCAGATTAGGGGTATATGAGAATACCAAGCTATAAAAATAAAAGACCAAGAGATGGCATGACAGACATATCAATGAAAAAGTGTTCGGGTTGGTCATCAAGTTCTCATCTTCAATTCTCACCTCAAACTCTTTCCAAGCAAGTTCAGATCAAGCTGGTTGGGTCCATTCACCATTATAGCTATATATCCACATAGAGCAGTGGAGTTGGTGTTTCAAGACGATGTGAGAAGATTTAATGTCAATGTAGATCACATAATTATCTTGTAAAGATTCAGTTCATTAAATCTTGTTTATGAAAACTTTCGTTTTCCTAACTATTACGAACTAATTCCAATGTTAAATCCTTACTTTTAATTGAAATAGTGATTTCAAGTATTGTCATCTAGACTAATATTAAGCGGTAATGGTACTAAAAGCATTTTTCTAAAAAATGTAGGGTATGACTAGGTAGTAAAGCCAAGCTTGAAACTTTTACAAGCCTGCCTAGGCATAAAATAACGTAAAATGTGACTAGACAGACTAAGACATGCTTAACGCCTAGTCTGCATTTTAGAACTTACTCATTATCTTCTTCGAATAGATGTGCAAGTCGAGTTTAAAACATTGATAGAATAGCATTTTGTAACAACATATGTGATGTAACTAACAATGAATGAGCTCGAAATAGGAATAGTTCATGGGCACATTTCATCCAAATTATCCCTTCCATTCCTTCTTGACTCTTTTTCCATGCCAGATACATTCTTACTTCGCTTTTATGTAAAGAATATGGCCTTCTTGACCCTATAACTGTTCCGCCATTCTAAAGTTAATTATAAGGTCGTGTTTGAAGTCTAAGGTGCTCTTCTTTTTCATTTCTCCGAATGGGAACTAAGACTCTAAAATCTAGTTAGCTTACTCGTAGGAGCATAACACCTGTCACCACTAAATCCTACAATATTCCGTTGGGGAGGTCCATATTACAAAGCCATAAAGGGAAAACTGATACATTGCTTCTTCCCATCACAATCCTTCGATCAAACTCTTTTTAAGAGTCGAACCCAGCTTCTTGTTTTGTTTTGCCCCTATCTAGTAAAGCAAATTAATCCCGTAGTACTCATGTAATTTTGAAGCTTCAACGTAAGCTGCGCCATACCAGTCTCCTGCCATAAAGTTTTGTTAGAACTGGACTTTGTATCTTCTGTCTTTGTCTAACTCAGCGAGTTTTATCTAACACACAAATTCTGAGACCTCGAGGTTCATAGGCAAAGAACCATGACCCATACATCTTTCTTAAACAAAAAAATGACCAAAGAAACAAGGTTGCACATGCAAAGAAACAGTGACACAAGAATTCATTCATACACAGAATGGTAAATTCTCTGGATTTTTGACAAACTGCATAACCGTTGAGATAAAAATGCTGAATACTTACAATGACCTCAATGATAATTTGTTTTTCCACAACCAATCCACAAGAAAAGGTGCCAAGAACATAAATGTATCACTTCACTACATCAAAAAACGATCTTTCATTTGATGAAGATGAAGAAATCTATTGAGCAAACAAAGAAACAGCACAAATTACTGGAGCTGGAGGGAGTTTTGTATGTTCTAGGTTTGAGAGACAGCTGCCGTTTTACAGATAGGGCAAATATTTTTCTGCACAAGCCACTCCTTTATGCAGTTTGTGTGATATAAGTGTCCACAGTTCAGCTTTCCCATCTCATCATCAGCTTCATAATCCTCCTGGACAGAAGAATGGCAAATATTTTTAATATGAAATAATATGAAGCTAAACCAGAAAACAAAAAATGTCAAGATGCTTGAAATAAATTTCATATGACCAACCTGGCATATACTGCATTTCTTTTCCAGATCGGTTGGGAAATGTGATGAAAATTTATCTAATATTCCAAGCTTTGTCCTCCTCAAACAGCGAGTTATCTCGTCTTCTCTCAGTCCGGTGCTCACATACCCAATTCTCTCACCAAGTTCCAGCAATTCCTGTTTATCACAAAGTGATGACATTAAGATTCCATTATGTGTCCACTAGAACAGTTTAAATCAAAACTAGAAAAAACGAAGGCATTCATGGAGTCGTGCATACCTCATATGACATGCTATCGACATCAAGTCTCCAATCTCCATATTGATCAAGACCATCTGATCTTCCTCCCATCAGCAGACTACTTTGAAGCATGACAATCTATAAAAAGAAAGTGTTTTCAGCAATATAAGCATAAGGAATACCATTGACAGACATTTCTCCTCAAAAGCATATTTTTTCTTGGACATTATTTTTTAAACATGAGATAAAAAAGTTTTTTAGACACTAACAATTACAATCAGTCAATGTTGACTCCATTCTTGCCTAAACAATGCCATGAACACTTGAAACATTTAACCTGAAGGCACTAGAGAAATCCCGCAATACAAATGTTCCTTCATAACCACTTAGATAGCCATTTTTGTCTATAGAAAAGTCTATTAAACTCTCAAGTTGTTAGCAACCTAACATTCAATGTTCCTCAGAGTTAATTTTATTCTACAAAATAAACCTTTAGACGGTTAAAAGTGACCTTATTTTTTAGGCTTTTAGGCTATGTTTGAGCCCCATTATTAGGAAAATTGATTCTGTAATAGGGATTTTTTGGAAAATGTGATTAAAAAGTAGGAAAAGTGGTGCGGAAGCATTTAGAAATTCTTGTAATAAGAATTGAAAATAAGAATTATATTAGAATAATCGTGCTTTGTATTGATATATGATTGATTGATTAAAAAGTGTACAATACCCCTATATTTATAGGCCAAATTATCCATAATCCTATTAATAAAAGGAAACTAAAATAAGAAAACTAAATTCTAAAAGAAAATAAACTAATCCTAATCTAAATAAAATTTAAGAATAAACCTATTACAATTAGAAAAAGAAATTAGAAAAGATAATTTAAAAAAGACAAACTCCTAGATAAAGTGGAACTATTAATTGTAGTTGTGATGTACTACATCAATCTCCTCCACTTGAATAAAACTCGCCCTCGAGTTTTGTGGATGTAAGGAAAACTCATCTGGAGGAAAGTATTCGAAAATATCAGCAACATTGAAAGTATTAGAAATGTTCATATCAGCAGGAAGGTCAACTTTGTAAGCATTATCACCAATCTTTTGAAGAATGCGAAAAGGACCGATCTTCTTATCTTTAAGCTTATTGCAAGTGCCAACAGGAAAACGATTTTTGCGGAGATGGATCATCACCAAATCACCCTCGTTGAACAGCTTAAGGCGTCGATGTTGATCTGCAGCAGTCTTGTAACGAATATTAGCATCTTCTAAATTTTGTTTTACTTCGTGATGAATTCTTTGTATACGTTCAGCAAACTCTTCTGCATTAGAATTGACATTCGGAAGTCGAATCAAATCTACTGTATGTCTTGGAACACTAGTGTAAACGACTTCAAATGGAGTCTTCTTGGTGGATCGATTAAGCATACTATTAAAAGCAAATTCAATCTGTGGAAGGGCAACATCCCATTGCTTTGGTTTATCTCCACTGACTGCTCGAATCATATTGCCAAGAGTTCGATTAGCCACCTCTGTTTGTCCATCCGTTTGTGGATGACTCGCGCTACTAAACTTTAAAGAAGTGTCAAATATTCTCCACAATGTCCTCCAAAAGTGACTTAGAAACTTGACATCTCTATCAGAAGTTATAGAACGAGGAATGCCGTGTAGGCGAACGATCTCACGAAAAAATAAATTAGCCACGTAAGAAGCATCTGCAGTTTTCTTACAAGGAAGGAAGTGAGCCATTTTCGAAAATCGATCAATTACAACCAAAACAGAATCAACTCCTCGTTGAGTTCGTGGAAGACCGAGAACAAAATCCATAGTGAGATCTTGCCATATTGTTTCTGGAACAGGCAATGGGGTATAGAGTCCAGTATTTTGAGCTTGTCCCTTAGCTTTCTGACATATTGGACAACGCTGAACAAAACGACCAATGTCTCTTTTTAGCTGGGGCCAATAAAATCTTTCTTCAACCAAGCTGATTGTCTTATCTCGACCAACATGTCCTCCTAATCCGCCTGCATGCAATTCTCGGATCAAGTGCTCACGCAAAGAAGAACGAGGAATGCATAATTGCGTTCCTTTAAATAAGAATCCTTCCTGAAGTAGGTAATCGGATATAAACTCTCTATTACTGCATCGAGTCCATATATCGCCAAAATCCTTATCAGTTGCATAAAGTTCCTTTAAGCAATCGAACCCAACTACTTCTGTACTAATGGTAGCTAAAAGAGATGCTCGTCGACTTAAAGCGTCTGCTACTTTATTCTGTTGGCCTGATTTATGCTTTATAGCAAAAGTGAATTTCTGTAAAAAGGTGATCCATCGAGCGTGCATTCGATTCATTGTTTTTTGAGAATTGATAAATTTCAAAGCTTGATGATCCGTAAATAACACAAATTCTCGTTGTATCAAGTAATGTTCCCAATGCTTTGAAGCCCGAATAACGGCATAAAATTCTAACTCATAAGTAGTCCACTTTTGCCGAGACTCACTAACCTTTTCACTGAAAAATTCGACTGGGCGACCTTCTTGAGATAATACTGCTCCAATTCCCATAACTGAAGCATCACAATCAACTTCAAATACTTTTTCGAAGTTAGGTAGTGCCAACACCGGTGTAGTGCATAACTTGGTTTTTATTGCCTCAAAACTATTTTCTTGCGCTTTACCCCATTGAAATTGACCATTTTTCAAGCAATCGGTAATAGGTGCCATGATTGCACTGAATCCTCGAATGAAACGCCTGTAAAAAGTTGCTAGTCCATGGAAGCTTTGAACTTCTCTCACGGTTTTAGGAGCTGGCCATTCGCGTATTGCTTTCACCTTTGTTTCATCAACCTGGATACCATCTTTTCCCACCATAAAGCCAAGAAATAAAAGTTGATCAGTCATAAATATGCATTTTTTGAGATTGATATACAATTTATTATCTCGCAGGACGGAGAGAACTTCTTTAAGATGTGACAAGTGCTCATCTTCATTCTTGCTGTAGATAAGAATATCATCAAAATAAACCACCACAAATTTTCCCACAAAAGGACGAAGAACTTGGTTCATTAATCGCATGAATGTGCTTGGTGCGTTCGACAGCCCAAATGGCATCACTAACCACTCGTAGAGACCATCCTTGGTTTTGAAAGCTGTCTTCCACTCGTCGCCAGTTCGAATACGGATTTGATGATAGCCACTCCTTAAATCAAGTTTGGTGAATACCACTGCCCCTTGTAATCTGTCGAGCATATCATTAAGACGCGGGATGGGAAAGCAATACTTGATTGTTATTTTATTAATAGCACGACTGTCTATACACATTCGCCAACTGCCATCCTTCTTTGGAGTGAGTAAAGCGGGAACTGCACAAGGACTCATGCTCTCACGGATCAATCCTTTATCAAGTAACTCATTAACCTGTCGCTGCAACTCTTCATGTTCAACTGGGCTCATTCGATAATGTGGTAAGTTAGGCAAACTAGCTCCAGGTGCCAAATCAATATGATGTTGAATGTTTCGCATAGGGGGCAACTCGCTTGGTAACTCATCAGGTGCTATATCAGCAAAATCAGCAAGTAACTTTTGAACTTTGGCCGGAATCTGTATAGTTGCTTCCAAGTGACCTTTAACTACTAATGCTAATATAGTGCTCGGCTCTTTTACGTGGTCGAAGAATTCTGGGCCTGATATGTTGGTAAAAAGTGGTTTATCTTCCTTGATAGCAGGATTATTTTCCAAATGTTGAGATTGTGGTACTAAAACGATCTTCTTATCAAACCACCAAAATATGAAAGTGTTATCTCGCCCCTTATAAGTGGCATCAACGTCATAGTGCCATGGACGACCCAATAATATATGACAAGCATCCATATCCACCACATCGCACATGATCTCATCTTTGTAATATTTCCCAATCGACAAAGGAACCTTACAGATTTCTAGAACTTGAACTTCTGGGCCTTTTTTAATCCATGCAATCTTGTATGGAGAAGGGTGTCTCTCAGTCTTCAGATTTAGAGCTTTTACCACTGCTTTGGAAACGACGTTCTCACTACTACCGCTGTCAATGATTACGTTGCATACCTTACTACGAATAGTGCACCGAGTCCGGAAGATTTTGTGTCGTTGTGAGTTATCAGGCTTTTTGGGTGCAAGTAAAAGGCGTTGGACAATGCACGCCAACTCTTCCCCAGTATCTGCATCTGCAACATTACCACCCTCATAGTCACCGTCTTCAAAATTTTGTTCTTCATCACTTTCGCCCTCTTCTACAATGTTAATGGATCGCCTGTTTGGACAGCTATTTGAAAGATGTCCTGGTTGGTTACACCGATAGCACTTTCCAAGATTAGGACGCGCATAAGGGTCATTATTTGTTCGTTGCTGTGCTTGGTTTCTGTTTTGGATGTTAGATTGAACAGGAGCTGAAGTTCCATTTTGATTCTGTGCCGAATTCTGAATTGGCGTGGTACCCTTACTGTTATTATTATTGTTGCCTGATGTCGTTGCACCCTTTGGAGTAGAATAAGTTTCTTGAATTGGTCGTCGAAAATTGCCTTGAGTACGGGCTGTGGTCCTATTCATCTGATTTTCCACTTTCATTGCTAAATTGACTGCATCTGTCATGGTCCAAACCTCTTGAAGAGCTAGTCGATCTTGAATGACTAATTTTAGGCCTCCTATATATCGAGCAATTAATTGAGCTTCTGTTTCAGATAAATTAACTCGGGCATTTAAACGATAGAATTCCTCTGTGTACTCGTTTACTGTTCGATTGTTCTGTCGACAATTCTGATATTGCTGGTACAAAAATTGCTCATAATCTGGGGGGAGAAATCGTCTTTGCAATAACCGTTTCATCTTGGGCCAAGTTTGCACACGTTGTTTTCCTTGTCGTTGACGATTAAATTGAAGTTGTTCCCACCATGCCGAAGCTCCACCCTTTAATTTATACGCCACGAGCTTAACTTGGCTTTGTTCCGAGATATTCAAATAGTCGAAAAAATTTTCGACGGTATGGATCCAATCCAAAAAATCTTCAATATTTAATCGGCCGTCAAAACTTGGCAAGTCCATCTTCATCTTAAATTCTTGAACATTTGTACCACGATTATTAGCCCTTGGTCGAAAATTATCTTCTTCTTCGGATGAATAATCGAAACCCCGTGGTCTTCTTTGTTGAAAGCCTCTATCCTTCGGCTGAAAATTAGGACCTCGATCAAAATTGACTCCTCGGTCAACATTGTAACCACGGTCAACATTATAGCATCGGTCAAAATTGTGTGGGTCAAAATTGATTCCTTCCCTAAAATTAAATCGCGTCTCTGCCTCTCGCTCAAGATTTTTCGTCGGAGCTCGCGGTCGGTCACTGAGCTCCTCGTCGCCGCCGATTGGAACCTTTCGCCGGAGGTTACCTTCATCTCGCCTGTTTCTTCGCTCGTAGAACCGTAGAGGGGCAGCCTCGCAAGGGTCGCGATTCGCGACTGGGTTCGCGCGCCAGGCAACTTAATCATGGATTTCTGGGTTCTGCTGCTGAAGTCGATTATCTGCAAGGGGCCGGAGTCCTTCCCCCACACCTGGGTCGACGTGGGACTGGGTAATAGGGCGCGTCTCCCTTCTTGCTGGAACTCCACGATTTCTTACATTCAAATTTGCATCTTCTTCCTCATCGTCGGAATCTGAGTTGATATCTCTTTGTACATATTTCTGCCCACCCGTCTGTTCTGCCCTGGGTGCATGATGCTTCTCAATAGTCATCGCAGTTAGCATCTGCGTGATATTGCGAAGAGCTTCATCCATCCCTTCTAGTCGTTGCTCAATTTTTTCAAACCTCCGTTCGTTGTCGGTGGTTTGTTTGCTACTCGAACCGTCCTCAGCCATCAGATTGAGGTGAAGTCCTTGCTCTGATACCAATTTTGGTGCGGAAGCGTTTAGAAATTCTTGTAATAAGAATTGAAAATAAGAATTATATTGGAATAAACTTGCTTTGTATTGATATATGATTGATTGAATAAAAAGTGTACAATACCTCTATATTTATAGGCCAAATTATCCCTAATCCTATTAATAAAAGGAAATTAAAATAAGGAAACTAAATTCTAAAAGGAAATAAACTAATCCTAATCTAAATAAAATTTAAGAATAAACCTATTACAATTAGAAAAAGAAATTAGAAAAGATAATTTAAAAAAGACAAACTCCTAGATAAAGTGGAACTATTAATTGTAGTTGTGATGTACTACATCAAAAAGTTTTGGATTTATGTGCAAAATTATTTTATTTGGAGAATGTATGATTGAAAAATGAGTTCGGGGAAAATAAATTTTTGGAGAGGGGTTCAAACAGGGGCTTAATGTCATTGTTCTAAACAGTTCCTCGTATTTGCATCGAAACCATCCTTATTCAGTTCTAAGATTGCCCCACAGTTCATTGATGTTCTAAGATCAGGAACCAACATAGTCATATTGTGTTTTCCCCTAACATAAGAAAACGAAACAGTAGTAAGAACTTGTTTCATTCGTATTCTGGTCTCTACTGGGTTAGTGATACCCAGTTCCTTCCAGACTATACATAACACTGTCTTGTATTTCACACTGAGGCAAACAAGTAGCATACAGATGTAAAGGTCAAGATTTCATCCGTGCTAGTTTTTTTAGGATAAATGCACGTTGTCACAATGTAACCCTTGTTTATCCATTATATCCAAGTCTATGCTTGGCAATCTTTCCCATAGGGCTTCACTCAATCAAACATGCCAAATAAATCCAGAGAATTCCAACATTTTATCGGTAGACTCACAATAGAATAACCTAGAGGTGGCAAAAGGGCCGAGTAGCTCATCGACTCGTAAGCTCGGCCAGTAGGGGCTCAGCCCATGGGCAGATCGGGCCCGTTTCTGGACAAGCTCGTGCCCACGAGCCTAGAGTTCAAGGGCTGTCAATAATGTGACCAAACGGTTAGGAGCTGTTCTCTTTGTATTTCAGTTTTATATTTTGAGTTTTGAATTCATTTTTGGTTTTGTGTTTTGAGTGTTCATTTTGAGATTGTTGAAAATCTGTTCTTTTTGACATTTTGAAAAATTGTTTTTAAAACATCCAAATAGCATTTTGAAAATTTTGGCTTGATTTTTAACTTATTTTCAAAAACACATTTTTGAAAATAGGAAAGAGAACGCGTTTTCACTATTTTGGAAAATCAAAAACAGAAAACGATTTGAAAATAATAAAGAGAACGGACTTTTACTTTTTTTAAAGTGACTGAAAAATTGATTGTTTGGTCACTTTAAAAAAAGTAAGATAAAGTTGAGCTCATGGGCAAAGCTCGGCTTAGCTCTTGAGCTCACGAGCTTGTGATACAAGCCAAGCTTGAGCTCAAATCGTCTCTTGGACGAGTCGAGCTCATGGGTACCTTATTGCCATCACTAGAATCACCTTTGAAAGAATTTCAAATATAGAACAAGTTAAGCTATGATTTATTTTAGTCAAATGTTAAGGCTCTCTTTCAAAATTAAAATTACAACAAATGAGTTTCATTGTAGAAAGTTGTGCAATATTCAGCCCTTGTTTGAGCCCCATTTTGAGAGGAAAAATGTATTTTTGAATAGTGATTTTTGAAGAATGTGTGGTCAAAAATTAAGAAAAAGTTTTCGATTTACGTGTAATAACAAAATGTGTGGTTGAAAATGAGTTTTGAAAAAATAAATTTTCAAAACAATGGGACTCAAACAACCCCTCAATCGGTTCAATAAAATAAAAAGAATAATTAGATAGGAAACATCCTTTCACAAGAAACTGGATAATGCCAATTACAAAAGATAAAAGTCAAACCTCTGCAAGTCCTTCAGGAAAACCATGTCTAACATGACGTCTAGATCCGGAGTCATCTACTCGAGAGCGTGGCACTCCTAAGGCTGCTTCAGGATCAAGGAAAAAGAGATCTTCATGGTTTACCATCCTCCTCACAGTACATGAACGCTGACAACAGATAAAAGCAAATCAAGCTAGCGTATGGCCAAAAATAGAACCACATTAAAAATAATGCATTCAATCAAAGTAACAAAGTGAACTTCAGTTCTTAACGTCTTGAAGCATTCAAAAGAGGTGAAAAGCAACAGAAAATTTCAAGTTAGATGTGTGGGATAAGGGAAGTTCCATGATATGTATTGGCTTTGGAACTCAAAGCAGCCAGAAATCAGTGGGCCCTATTTGCTCCTTGCTACAGCAAGAGATATGGAGACTATTTCCCAATCATACTCCAATGTGTGCAAAGCTCAAATATATGAAATATAGACCAAGATTACAACCAGTAGATAAGGTAATCTCTTTGTAGTAGGTAACATCATATTATTAAAATTTTTGTGGCTTTCAGTTGACTATTTTTTTTTTTTTAATAACTGTGGGTGTCCGCGAGACCCTGAAATTTACAGTCAGGTACTCACCTCAATGACCCTGAGGAGACTCGAACTGGTGACCATTAGGGAGTAAACACAAGGCCTAACCAATTGAGCAACCCCTCAAGATTAAAATTTTCATAAATTGGTAGGGCGGCTTGCATTTGACTATTGTCACAATATTAAGTTGAAGTGTGCTGAGGATGATATGTAGCAAATATTTGTTAAATGTGAAAAGAATTTTGAATTTCTTGCCTGCTCTAAATGTTGAATTTGATCAAGTGCATGTCCAAGTCCTCGGAAAGGAATCTCTACCATCCATGAATGAGGTTTTACCACTTATAAGGGCAGAAGGAAATAGGATAGAGATGCTTGGCAACCAAGTCAGAAAGTTCGGCCCATGCTCCAATCATGCCTTTTAATAGTGTGGCAACTTAAAATAGCAATGATGTCATCCTAAGAGAAGTGAAGGACATCATAAACCCAGCAAAAATGAGGCTTGTGTCGCAATTACCGCAAGAAGACACATTACACCACAAAAGAGACAAGCTGGAAATTTCACGGAAATTCCCTATTCTTTGGCAGAGACAATGAAAATCGAAGTGGACATGATGGAGAATAAGCTTTTATGGCTCATTTTGACAGCATTGACAATCTAAATTCTTGTAATTTGAACAGTGGTTGTCTTACCAAAGAAGAGATTGATCGGCTGCATCGCTTCACTAGATAAACCAAGTCTCTTTTCAATGGCACTGTCAGATAAGAATCCTATATCTCGCTGTTTTAGTGTCTGTAACAATTGTAATTCGAAATCATGGATCATCGACTCTGGTATCACCAATCATATGATCATTTTATGCACTCATGAGTCATCCACCCAATTTATGACATACTGTCCATGCCTAGATCAAAAAGTCAAAGTTGCTGATGGCACTTTTACTTCTTTCACAGGACAAGATACCATAACTGTTTCACCTTTTCATAAATTGAAATCTATATCACGCGTGCCTTGACTTTTAATCAATCATTTGTCTATTTCATTGAATCACCAAAGAACTAAAGTGTTGCATAACAATTTTTTTCACCTCACTGTTTTTCAAGACCAAGTTACATGGGGACGATGATTGGACAAGCCAGGGAACAGAGATTGGCTCTAGCTTCTCGGACATGCATCAGAGGGCTACGATTGATTGGTACTAACTAGGCCAAATGTGGCTAACCCATTGAGAATCATTCGATTCCCCCACCAAAATCAATCAGCGAAGATACGGGACCAGGTGATTATGTCAATATTGCAAAATGTGATAAAAGATAGGCACAAAAAAAATCAAGTTCACTGCAGTAGCAAGTCGAATTCATTCTAAAATTTTTATTTCAGATTGAACCATAACTCTTCAGCAACAAAAACAAGGGCATGCCCAGGACAAAATACTAGTCCAATCCGACCAAAAATACCTTAAAAACATTAGTGCTAAACCAAAATCAGTATGCAAGTAAAAGAATAAATGCATGTATAAATGCAAAATCCAATAAACACCAGTCATCCACACAAAAAATAAAATAAAAAATGAGGAGCTCAGAAATAAATGTTCAGAAGAAATAATTATAGAAAAAGTAACGTAGAACAATATCAATTAACAAATAACAGAAAAAGATAGACAAGAAATTTTAAGACTACCTCTCTTAGATTGTGGTTAATCTTGTCAACCCCGTCGACTTTGCCTCTGGTAGAGACAGGAGGCCTTCTTGAAACAACACAATCTACAGATGCAGCATCAGTTGTGACCCCAATCCCAGGGCCACACCAAACATCAGGCACACCCACACAACTTGATGATAGAGCCAACGAAAGTGACGATTGGGATGATGGGTTAGCGTTATTGATGCTGTTATTCGTAACAGCAACAGCAGCAGAGTTGTTATTACTGGGTAGCTTGGTTTTCTTGCTTTTCATCTTTTTCTTTTTCAGTTTCTCGGAATCCCAGTTGGCCGAGGTCCTAATGACTGCAGGCACAGAGACCTGTGAGGAGGCAGCGCAGCCCAGTCCTCTGAATGTTGAAGATGTGAAGTTCTTTTTTTTAGAAGAACTGATGGCGGTGGTGGTGCTGCTGCTGCTGCTGATGAGATTGTCATTGGTGGTGGTATATGTGGAGGAGGAGAGGAGAGAGGAAATGGTGAATTTGGAGCAAGTGGTATTTGGATCTGTTTCTGAGGCGGTCAAAGAGTAGTTACTGGTTCTGGGTTTTCTGTTTCTAATGTGTTCTGCAATTGTTGACTTACCTGCAACCACCGCAGACATGGTGGCGCCGCCGTGCAGAGATGGCAATACTGCAACGTGTGAGTTATGTATAAACTAACAAGTACTGTTGGGGTATTGACGGAATTTCAATTATAAAATTGGGTGAATGGTTCTGTGTGTGTGTGTGGTGGAGGAGAGGGGTAGGAGTGGGTGGGGAATTTGATGGGTTGTTTTGGAGTGAAAATCTTTTGTCAACTTATGACGCGCTTTACTCGAAGTAAGCCGATGATAATCATTGTTTGATTTTTTTTTCGCTTATTTTTTAATCACACAATAAAATATTTTAGGCATAAATTTTAAAAAAAAATTCTTATTTTTTAACCACAATATTAAAAATTACAAGAATCATGCTACATAAACATAATGATAGAAATAATTATGGACATAATGCAATATGACTACCTATAATTGAACTGTTTTACAAGACGGTCAATTTTTTCATCTAATCGCATCTTGTTGACACATATTATCAACCATTATATAACATACTTTCTGACAAATTAGCATTATTCAAATCCCAATTCAAAATATTATTTTTCTCAAATAATGATTGTCAAACATGAGCTAAATAGGTAGATCCTATAAACTACGACATTGAATATATTATAATAAATGATTGTACATAATTATTTATATAATAATTGTGTTATATGTATATCATTATTTATAAATTGATGTACATACACATGATATGTTGACATATGTTTGGGTTAGAATTTTTTCGATCAGATAAAAAAATTCTTCACTATTTTCTACATACATTATCTATCTATAAAATTTTCTGTAATTCCTTATATACAAGTAACATTGTTATTCACTAATTACCTTTTCGAGCTCCTTCATCCAGTATTGAAATTCCTGTAAATGCCAGAACACACCGCAGAGGGGTGGGTGAGTGGGGTTTTTTGCCATTATTTAAATTCGCATGAAGACCATCCTATGAGAGTGAAATTCAAAAATCTATGTTAATTCTGTTTTTTTTTTTTCTGTGCTCACAGCAATTTCCTCTTTTCTTTTATGAGTCCTCACTCTTGTCATAGGATCTGTATATCGAGGTGTCACAATTAGCAAAGCCCAGTCGTTCTTTTATGAGCTGTGAATTGTGTTGTTTTAAAATCAAGACAAGATCTACCATTTGACGGTCTCTTTTATCAAACAACCGATGATAGGGTGTTATAATTTGAATCCGTAGGGAGAAATGTGGAAATAGAATTTTAATTTGCAGAAGTAACAATAAATGGGCATGGCAGAATGAAAAGATGTGCAGAAAGTGAGATGACAAGACAAAATTGTACCAAGAAAAAAAGTAGAGGAAGACAGAAGAGTAAAAAGGTGTGCTTGATTGGTGGAGTGGAATGGAATGGAGTTGAAAGAAGAATAATAATAATAATAGAAGGTGTGTTAGTCTTTATTTGATTAGATTAGTGGGCCCATTTTGTCAACTTCAATGGAATTTGAGAAATTTGGGGTAATCTTTGGCGGTTTGCTCAATTTTAACTGCCGTAAATTTTCAAACAAATTTCATTGGGTCATTAGATTTTCAATCATGCTTCATCTACAATCATTAATCTCATTGAGAATATACCACGTGGCAAACTAATAATTTATTTTTATAATCAATTTTTTTTTTGTTTTTTTACAATTCATATATTATCAATCATATTATTATTTATAATTGTACAAATAATTTAATCCTTAGCTTTTTATGTTTCTTTTCGCCAACGTCATTAAATGAGGAAATATATTTTGTAATAGTAATTTTTTAAGAACATATAATTTAAAAATAGAGAAAAAAAAATTTGAATTTATAAGTTGGATATGGCTCCATTTAGTTCAGGTTCCAAAAGAATCGAATCGATCTGAATCATGAACTATTGATTTTTTTATAATAGGACCAATGAATTTTTTTCATTCCATTACTTAAATTTTCAAATGATAAATGCAAAACAAAATTTATCATAATATCCATAAGTTAGTAATATATGCATAAATAAATAAGTAAATAAATCAAAACTTGGAAAATGCAATGATAATTTTAGTGTGGAAGTGCGAGTGTGTGTCTAAAATTGAAATTGAGATAATGAATTAAAATTTAGATCTAGGGGTTGGCCGCTTTATTTCATAGGTGATAAGTTAAAACTAATTTGTAAAAAGAAAAAAAAATTGTATAAAAAGGTAATAAATATTGAGTTCAATTCTAGTTCTTGGTTTTAGAACCCGAACCATGACCAAATGGTTTTCAATTCTAAGACCAAAATCATTATTTTTTTATAGAATAAAATCGAAATGTTCGGTTTGATTTGGTTTTGGTTTGATCTGATTTTGTCCACTCTTATGAAATTACGTGTAAAATTATTTTGTTAAGAGAATATATCGTTGAAAATGAATTTGGAAAACAGTAATTTTTTAGAGAATAAGACAAACGGGGGCTTAGTTAACAATCATATTATAAATAATCTTTCGCGTAATCGTTACATGAAACCTTCGAAACGAAAATTGTAAAATGGTGGTTATGATAATATATAAAGATATATGTACAGAGCCATGAAGCATGATTCTACGATAATATAATCAGATCAAATTATTAAAAGTTATCATTTTTCAGAATAATAGTATAATACTATAGGTGCAAACATGAGCTTAGTTAACAATGCTAATGTTAGGATGCACAACTTGCCCGCCTGCGATATTGTACTGTAGAATTATGAAATAAATTTAAAAAAAAAAGGGATAGTGTGAATAAATTATTTTGAGAACTTACAATATTTAATAAAATTTGAAAAAATGAAGAAATTAATATGAGATTAATCTTGTAAATTAAAATGAATTAAAATCTTGACCTATCTTTCCATTTACGTTTAATTATGTACAATTTGTATTATCAAACAACAATAAAAGTATTAATTGCATACAACATCTTAATTTTCTAAAAAATGAAGGAATAATTTGCCTCAAACAGGCTCTTATTCACAAAAGTATTATCGACTTATACATTTAAGAAATTGGTAGATAAGATTGAAACATGTCGACTCAAAGATATTCAATATTCAGCACCACGGAAAGTAAATGTACTCTTTTTTCTTCTTCTAGGTTTTATCACACTTCACAAAGGTTTAATGAGGTAGCAGCTTGATACTCCATTTTTTTTTTTACAATTAACTATACTCTCTTTTTTTTTTTAGTTTGTTAGCTTTTTCCTCTTTAGGTTTTACTTGACCAAGGTTTTTAATGAGGCAATCATTGTATAAATAGACATTAAAGGAAGAGTATTGTAAATTAACTTTTACATATGAATGACTATATAGGAATCCTACAATTAATTACTGAATGACTATTGTACCTAGTCGTCTTAATTCTTAATATAAATATAGGACTTTGATTTACAATTTTATTCTCTTCTCTTTTTCTCTCTAATTCATGACAAACCATCAATTTTATTATAATAGGCCAAAATTGGTAAATGTTTTTTAATCGATGTTTTAGTTTCAATATTATGATTTTTTTTTCTCTTTTGAAGGGATTCAATAGGTTAGGTATTTAATGTAATTGGCTATTCTGTGAACAAAAATGACTAGAATTGATATGTTGTAAAAAGTCAAGGAGTTGTGTGCAATTAGTATAAGTTGTAATATTTTAGCTCTAGGATTCGAGAATGAAAAAGAAGGAAAAACGGCGCGAATTTTCGCTAGAGTGTCGCTAAAGCCTAGCTCAAGTATCAAAAATAGAAATTCCATCGCTTGACTGTCGCCTCACCTTCGCTCGAGCGACAACATGTCGCTTGACTATTTCTAGCCCTTCGCTCGAGCGACAGCATCATCAGGAAAATTTTTATTACGTTTTTGAAAGACTTTTTGTCCGACTCATTCATTCACTAACCTACATATAAATACTTGAACGCATCTGACGTTTTTCTAAGGTTGATAATTGAGAAAAATTACTGCTTTCATATTCTTTTCATCCTCTGAAACATTCAACCTTCATTGTTCAAATTGATCTGTTCTTGGCGGTGAAAAACATCAGTTTCACAATCCAAATACCAAACTACTATTTCCTACATATCTATCAGAATTTTTGAAGATTAAGGGAAGGTGACTGGAGTTCCATTCGTTGAAGAACGCGGTATTCTTCGTGAATTCATAGGATATAGACGAATTCACAAAACTGGGAGTTGCTGCAGGAGAGCGCAATCCAGGAGAGTTTTGAAAACAACAGCTGGGAGTTGGTGTATGAGCACAAAACCCAGGAGAGCTATTGGAATTGCAGTTAGGAGATCAGATAGTACGTTCGTCGTACTGTAAGTTAAAAATCGTTTATAGTGGATTGTTGACTTGCAAAGTGTCTGGAGTTTTCACCTAGTTAGATTTCTCCGTGATCAATTCTTGTGTTCAGTTATTACTTACATGACTGTGGTATTTCAACATAAGATTAATTGAATTGCATGTTTAATCATCTAGAAAAATAATTAATAGTAACTTGTTGCTAGTTAATTATTAAATAATTTTTAATTCCGCATAATCACCTATTTACCCCTTTCTAGGTGTGGTTAGGTTTGAACTACGTACTTTCAACGTGATATATTTATTTATCGAAATCTATTTAGAATTGAATGAAATATTTGATATCAAAGTTACCTAGTTGAAACTATAAAATAGTGAAGAATTTGATTTATTCAAAATTGCCAAAATACTTATCCCATATAGAAACGTTAGTAAATTTTTGTGTGGTTTATATAATGAAAGCTTGGGAATTGAGTTTCGACCCCAAGGGTTTCAATAGTCTTTGAAAGGGGAAGGCCCATGTCCTTTAGGTTCGATCCTAAGCTCATACATGCGCGTTGTAGTCGCCATTCAAGTCAATTCAGTTCCTGTTCGGATACGGGTGGTTCTTTGTACTATATTATCTTTTTGGACAAAAAATATTTAAATTTTTGGGTCTAATTGTAATTAATCAAATTTTAGGTATTTAATGAAATTAATTTTTATTGGCTTATTTCTTGGTAATTTTTTGGTTTAACAAGTTTAACAGACACGGTGTTTCATACTGTATAGTATTGTATGTTCGAGTTTAAAGGGTTGTCTAAACAATAATAACTATTCTAAAAGGGTTTGAAGGATGTTTGAATGGACACGAACGAGTTTATAAATAGCATGCCATGCTGCCGAACAATTACACCATTTTCATTGCGAACTTTCTCTACTTTGAATCTCATTCTCTCTTTCGTTCTGATATTGTTCTCGAAGTGAAAACACTTTATTGAGTCCGTTGGAACTCCTATAGATTGTTGTGCTGCTTCCGTAGGAGACGACATTCTATCTTAGGAAATGATTGTTGAACACATTTAACACTTGTGAATGCAGCAAATTTGTTTTAAGGAAATATCGTAAAGTTGGTGGGCTCGAATTAACTTTCTGATCATTTTGTTACGCTGTGCAAATTACATTAATGTAATTCTGTCAGTATCTGTATATTCAGATTTTTCGAATGAGGAATTTATACTCCAAAAACAACAATCTTAAAATAAATTTGATTTTATTCTGGTTTATTCTACTTCTACTCATTCTTACTGTTTATATTCTGATTGTGTTTCAGAAATGAAAACTTCCAATACTACACTTCCCAATACGATCAGAGAAAATTTAATGGGTCAGATTTTAAGCATTAGCAATAAAAAATACTTCTTCATCTGACAACATTATGTTTGAAATATTTCTCAAAGAAGAGGCACATTCATACACCAAGGACAAAAGGGATGTTGAAAAATTGGCCGCGGTTGATGCATGGAAGCATTCGCATTTTCTATGCAAAAATTATGTATTCAACGGACTGGAAAACACATTATATAATGTGTATTGCTATGTGAAGTCTGCGAAAGAATTGTGAAAATATTTGGACATCAAGTACAAAACTAAAGATCCCGACACGAATAAATTCATTGTCGGTTATTTTTTATTACAAAATGGTTGATAGCAAGACTTTCATATCCCAGTTCAAGAACTTCAAATCATAGTCGTGATATCCACGCCAAAAGAACTAAGCGAATCATTTCAAGTTGCTGCACTGATCGAGAACCTTCCTAGAAAGACTTCAAGAATTATCTAAAGTATTAGAGTAAGAAAATGAAACTTGAAGATGTCA